TTGACCTTGATTGGTAACAAAAATTGATTGTTTTTAAAACGGGTCTCACCTTACCTTGATCTTAAACATCCTGCAGAAAAGGCACAACTACTAGAAGTATATAAAGCAATGCTAAAATAATATAGTATAAAAGAAACTCAATTGCCAGGTACACTGGTAGCTGACTACTGTCACAGATTAATGGACTGCACAGGGTTTCAATTGCAGAATGCAGGGACTTAAAATCTTTGGACCCACTTAAAAGATCTACAAAGTTCTCCAACACAGCTCCTCCAGTTTCAACTGACCATTCATTCCATGCAAGAAAAGAGATGGGTATGTTGGGAGCAGTTGAAGCTGGAAATCAACCTAGGGCATGGCCCAGACATGGGCAGCTCCCAGGTCAGCTATATGAAGAAGTTGCTACAGCCCAGAAAAACACCAGGTTCCTAGACAATCCAAGCAATGGGTTGCTAGGCAGAGGGGCTGAAATTGACACCATCTTTCCCAGTATATAAATAAACATGCTGCATTGGTTGAGCAGTACCTTTCCTCCCATCAGGAGGATGAGGACTCCACCTGACCCCAGCTTTGTCTCCTTTATTTTTCTCATCCTGTCGCAGTCCTTAACCCCAAGAGCCTCAGGAGCAGTACTGGGTCAAGACTAATATTAAAACTACAGACTAACAACAAAGGTTAATGTCACCCATGTACTCTTCCTACCATTAGATCAATATTACCTAAGAGACTATACTTGCAGTTTTATTGATCTTAATTTTGATCCACATACCTGCCTCATGACTTTGTTCTATAAAAATTCCTTTGAGAAGTGAGCTCATTAGCAACCCACCTGGCACCCCCTCTTGTCTCTCAGGAGCTATTCCTATTCTTTTTTTCCAATTTTCCTACTCTTAAAACAAAAAAAATAGGTGTTGGCCTGAGGGTGTTACTCAGGAATACAGCATGTCTAGCATGTGCAAAGTCCTGAGCTCAATCCCCAGACACACACACACACACACACACACACACACACACACACACAGTCCAGCTAGCTGAGGTGGTACACACTGGTAAACCCAGCACTCCTAGGGCTAAGGCAGGAAAATCACCACAGTGAGTTCATTTTTAAAAGCCCAAAATACTTCACGCAACATGAAGGACCCCCTCTTCTTTTCCTAAGGAGGGACATCTACAGACTGCGCCACCAGACAGAGGCAAGCCATATCCTGGGGTCTTAGCAGGAAAGATGAAATTCAGATAATCATCAGAGATACAACCGTAACTGTTCCGAATACTTTAGGTAAAAATTATTATGAAGATCCCTGTCACCTGTTTCTTAAATTTTTTTTTTTTTATATTTCATACTGTAGTAGCTTGCACGGAGCTCGCAGTCACCACTAAACACAGCCGACCGGAGTAGCGTGCTTCCACGCTGCATACTAGACGTGCCGCGTGCCAAGCGTGAGAGCGCCGGGCCTGGCGAAGGACCGAGGCTGTCGGGGCGGGGGCGGAGTCTGTCGGGGTGGGGCGGGGCCAGAGCGGGGGCGGGGCCAGACGAGCGTACTGTCGGGAGCTCACGCCGGACCCGGAGGCGCCAAGGAACGTACGCAAGGGCGGGGCGAGTCGCAGTAGCGCCCCGATTTCCGCCGGGGGCGAGGGAGGGAGCCTACAGTGGCCCGGCCCTCTGTAGCTGCTTAAGGAAGAGACGGACTTACCTGGCCTTGTCCCCAAGCACCGCCTCTAATTTATGGAAACATGCAGCCTGCTAGGACCGGAAGGAGGCGGAGCCTCTATCCTCCCTGGTTCTGGGTGTCCTGGGCCCATAGCGCCCTCTGTTGATCTCAATAGCTGCGTGGAACCCATCGGGCCTACAGCCTCACACCTGGCCTAGAGGTCGCTAGGGGTGGGTCTTGGAAACCAGGGTCCTGGTAGAGCCTCGAAGCTCCTCTCCTCAGACATTTAACTGGTGTAAGTTTGCTGAATACAGTTAAAAATAAATAAAGTATGAAGTAGTTCACTTTCCAGTACTCTCTACTGGTCCAGAGTAGCTGTCAAACCCTTTCTCCACCTTCAAATAAATCGTCTTGATTTATTAAAAAAACTAAGCATAATGCTGCGTGGAAGAAGCCTTATTCAAAAGGCTATTACTAAATTTAAAAAAATTAGCATCCAGCCCAACACTAAGAGCGCTGGGGATTTAGCTCAGTGGCATTAAATGCTTGCCTTGCAAGCCCGTTGGTCATGAGTTCGATCCCTGCTATCAAAAAAACAAGGCTATTACTTCTGTATATAAAAATAATAAGATAGTTATACTACTGATTTTAGAGAAAGACTTGTGCAGATTATGCAGATGTCTCATGCTTGGGTGAATGATTTGGGGATGAGGATGCGCAGCGTATTGTTGCCCCGATTGATGTGTTTTGACGTTGTAGTTTTTCCTCCTCTTCCTTCTCTTCTTGTTCTTCTCTCCTTGAAATAAAATGGATTTGGTGAAAAATAAAAAGCTATATTAAATAGCGTGATTCTCTTTATAGGACATTTTATAAAAGACAGACCATAGCAGTAGAGAATAGATAAGGATTACAACTGGCTGAGTTAACCACAAAGAATTCTGGAGGAACACTGAAGGTGAGAGAATGAATTCATGTCTTGACTATGGTGGTAGTTACTTTGACTGAATATATTTATCAAAAATCAGAGTCAAAATCAAAAGTGAATTTTATTTTATTTATTGGTACTGGGAATCGAACTCACGACTGTGCGCTTGCCAGACAAGTGCTTACACCGCTGAGCTAAATCCCCAGCCCAAAAAAGTGAATTTTAAATCAGTTCTGGTGCCCCACATCTGTAATCCCAAAATTCTGAAAAGCTGAGGCATGAGGAGTTCAAGTTCAAGCCTAGCCTGGCAAAAGTGACCTCGTGAAAAAGATTCTGTCTCAAAAACAACAAGACAAAACAAAACAAAACCCGGCATGGTGGCACATACCTGCCATCCCAGCAAGTGGAAGGCTGAGGCAGGAGAATCACCATGAGTTCCTGACTAGCCTGAACTATACAGTGAGAATCTGTCTTAAAAAAAAAAAAAAAAAAAAAAAAAAGGCTGGCTATATAGTGTGAAAGCTCAATTCAACTGCCAGAAAAAAAGTAAATTTTACTGAATGTAATTATTCACTTTTTAAAAATACTAAAATGAGACTGATGGCCAGCATCTGGGAAGAGAGATTAGAAGTACATCTGCGGGGGCTGGGGATTTAGCTCAGCGGCATAAGCGCCTGCCTTGCAAGCAGGCAGTCGTGAGTTCGATCCCTGGTACCGATAAAAACAAAAAAGACAAAAAAAAAAAAAAAAAAAGTACATCTGCTTAATAAATCCACTTTGGATTGATGGAAAGGTTTTAGAACTAGGTAGGTTGCATAATATTGTGAATATACTAGTAACATTAAAATTATCCACTGCTGAGCCAGGAGTGGTGGCTCACACCTGTAATCCCTGCACTTGGGAGGCTGAGGCAGGAGGATCATTGCAAGTTCAAGACCAGCTTGGGCTACGAAGTGAGCTCAAGGTCAGCCTGAACTGCGTAGCAAGACCCTGTCCCAAAAAGACAAAAAATAAAATAACATTATCCACTTTTGCTAGGCATGGTGGTGCACGCCTGTAATCCCAACATTCAGGATGATGACAGGAGGATCACAAGTTCAAAGCCTGCCTGGGCTACATAATGGGTCAGCCCAAACTGCATAATAAGTTTCACCTTTAAAAAAATTATGAATATTCCTAAATAGCCAGGCATGGTGGTACACACTTGTATTCTCAACACTGAGAGGCTGAGGCAGAATGAACTCAAAGTCAAGCCCAGCGTGTGCAATTTATACTGATTTAGCAAGACCCTGTCTCAAAAGAAAAAAGGGTTGGGCATGTAGCTCAGTTTGAATGCCCTGGGCTCAAACCCTAGTACTGCAAAAATAGATGAAAAGTTAAAAACAAAAAATCTGCAGGCTCTAACCTGGCATGGTAAATCCTTGTAATCTCAATACTCAAGAGGCTGAGGGAGGAGGATGACTGTCAGGCTATGTAGTGAGCCCCTCTCTCAAAAAAAAAAAAAAAAAAGTCTTAAAAGCTGCAGCTTCTTGCGTGCCTTTCTATTCAGTAATTCACGTCCAAAAGCATGGTGGGATGAGATGGGAATCGGCTCTCTGCTTTGCCCAAGTCCCCATGCACCTGCTATAATGAGCTTAAGAAGCTGGTGTCTTGGGTCCTAAAGTAAGATGATATCTGCCCACAAATGAGTTAAGGAACTAAAAGGATTGCTGGGCATAGTAGCTTTCACCTGTAATCCCAGCACTCAGGAGGCTGAGGCAGGAAGAGCACCACGAGTTTGAGGGCAGCCTGAACTACACAGTGAGACCCTGTCTCAAAAAAAAAAAAAAAAAAAAAAAAAAAAGGAACTGAAAGGACCTCCCCTGCACCCCAAAGGCTCAAGTAAGTGGCTTGTCAGAAGTGAAAGCAACTACTGGTAGACCAAAGCCATGCTCTGAGCCCATAAAACACTATACCATGAAGACATGGTTTCCCTCCCTTCTATAGTTTCAGGGAGGTTATACAAGCCTAGAAAGTGGTTACCTAGGGATTCTTAAACACTTATGTCCTTGTCCAAAAGTTAAAAACTTGTGGCTCTGTTGTACATTCTCCTGGACTCCTGCCAGCCCTCAGAACCATATTCTATCTTTGCAGAACACCCAGAGTAATCCCAGGGAATCAGGGAACCGCAATCAGCATAATCACACACACACACTCACATCCACAGAAGAATTATGAGTTTGAGACCAGCACAGGCTAAACAGTGAGTTCAAGACTAGTCTGGACTACATAGAATAACCTGTCTCACAAAAACAAAACAAAAGTTGAGTTATCACATTCATTCAGTCTCCTCCAGATCTGAGGGCCTGAAGAAAACCCTCTATTCTAGGCTAGGTAGCCTAGTTCAAATCCTCAGGATATACACCCCCAAGAGACAAAGAATCTAAAAAACAAAGTACAAACTTTATTTTGTTTCTTTACAAAGGCACAGTGGCCTCTTGGTTCTTTTCCCCCCACTTTCTTAACAAAATATAATAGCTTCTCCTTGGACACAAAGATCTCAAAATTGTAAAAAAAAAAAAAAAAAAAGAAAGAAATGAAAAGAAACCAAAACTAAAACCAACAACAAACAAAACAAGAGAAAGAAACAAAGACATTTTTAGGACTTGGGGTACCCTGGAGAAATAGGTGGACAGAGGCATGGAGAATGGCGAGTCCTGGTGTTGAGAGGAAGGGGGAGGGGAAAAGGGCAGCAGCGAACCCCAACCGAGAAGCATAGATCCCGGTCCCCAGAAAGACCCGACCCAGCCTAACCCCCAACCCATGTAAGTGCTTAAAGAAAAAGAAAACCAAACGGAGAGGGGAGGGGGGATTAAAGACTGACAGGCGCAGGATCAGCTCTGGGGAGGAGTAAATACCTTGGGGTTGATTTTCCCTGTTCTTAAAAACACATTTAAATGAAAAATGTTTCTTGGTGGAGGCGGCCAGGCATCCTAATGTCGGCCTCCCCCAGAGCCCAGGACAGAGGCACAACCCTGGGATCCCAATGCTCCCACACGCTGTGTGCCACCCCAGCCTCAGGACCCTGGCTTGAGCGGCTTCGTTCCAAGATTGAGTTACAGTATTGAAAAAGAGGTCATAAAAGAGACCCAAATGACACAGTAATTTTGTAAAAATTTCTCACTCATTCACCCACATTTCTCCCTGTCACTTCCCCGGCCCCCTCCAGCCCCCAGAAGGGAGAGGAGGGCTGGGGGGTGGTCAGGGAAGCTCCCCATCCCCTAATGGCTCTTCCCGGCTCTGGTCCATGGCATCACTGTCTGAGGCCTCTGAGTCCGAGGCAGTGTCTGAAGTGTGTGCCTCTGGGCAGCTGCGCACAGGCTTCACGATAACCGCTCGCCGCTGCTCTTCCTCCAGCTCCTGCTTGTCCTGGGTGCCCTCGATGTGCTGGATTGCCTAGACAGGGAAAGGCAACAGGAGGCTTAACCGAAGGTCCCTGCCTACAACTAGCTCCTTACAAAACATATATCCCAGGACTGTCCCAAAATAAGCCTGGCAAAGCAAGGGCATGCTGCCAGAGTCCAGGGAAAATAAACATTAAAAAATTGCTCTGTTGAGCTGGGCATGAGAGCACATACCTGTAATCCCAGCACTCTGGGAGTCTGAGGCAAAAAGAAAGGAAAATTAAAAGTTCAAGCCTCTCTGGACTTGACCTTGTCTCAAAAAAATTTTATTCTTTTGGTACTGGGTATCGAACTCACAACTTCACACTTGCCAAGCAGGTGAAGCTAAACCCCCAGCCCACCTGTCTCAAAGATTTTTAAGGGCCGGGGATATAGGCTCAGCAGCGTATGTCTCCCTGGCAAGCACGAGGTTATGATTTCAATCCTCAAAAAAAAAAAAAAAAAAAAAAGCTTAAATATTTTTAAAAAGGTCTGGGGAAGAAAACAAAAAAGTTCTGGAGATGTAGTTTAGCCCTGGATTCAATACCCAGTAACACTTAAAAAACAAAAAAAAATTAGGTTTGATGCCACATGCCTACTCCCAGGACTCAGGAGGCTGAGGCAGGAGGATCACTGCAAATTTGAGGCTAGCCAGGGCTACAAAGTGTGCTCCAGGCCAGCCTGAACTGAACCGAACAGCGAAACTCTGTCTCAAAAAGACATACACACATATACAAGTCACCCCTTGACAGACCCCTTCTCAAAGGACCAGTCTCAGTGGTGCCAAGAAATGACAAGCATCTCCTGTACATTTATATATTTTAAAGTTTTCCTATTAACTTATTAAACCCTTTTGTTATTAATTGTATTGTTCATCTTCCTGAGTTTATGTGTAACTAAAGTTCTGGGCATTGATTTTTTTCCCTGTTTTGGCTTTTTTGGCTTATTATTTACCAATTAATCTTTTCATATTGCCCACAACATTCACAAGAGGCATAATGGCACAGAATACCCATCCAGCCACTGCCACTTCTACGCCATCCTTAGTTATGGGAAATAGAGGTGAGAGAAAGTTTTGGTCCAAATGAACAGCGGAGCTCTCACCAGGGGGCTCTGGCTCCAAAGGAGCCCACCAGCAAGCCCCTCTCTAAATGAACATGGCTCACCTCTAGGTTCTGTTGCCCAGCTCTCTGTCCCTACAGATGCAGGGAGCAAGAGATGCCTCCATTCTGGGCACCTGGACCACTCCTCCAACTCAAGCTCCATCTTTTCGTCATCCATCCCTTATTGTCTGGTCCCCTGTAAAGTGCCTATTTGCAGCAGTTCACCCCCTATGAGCTGCCCCTCCCTGAGCCCACATACCTGCACAATGGTGTCCAGATTTTGCCGGGATGTAGAAACAGAGTTGATGACAGAGGAGGGACCCATGGTGACAACATTGATGTGGTGGGAGGGAGGTGGTGGTGGCGGCGCCGGCACAATCACTGTAGGGTGGTGGGTGGGAGCTGGAGGGGGCAGGAGCTGTAAGACAGAAGCCCTCAGTCTCTCTCAGTCTGCCTGTGGTTCTTCCAGTCCATCAACCTCCCTCAGTCACAAGGACTGCTACAGACTGCACTTAGATTTCCCCAGGGGGTCCATGTATAATGGTGGTCACAGCACTGGGACTGGTGGACAATTTAAGAGATAAGCCCAGTAGAAGGCCTCTAGGTGTGAGTACCCTCACAGGGACAGTAGGCCCCTAGTCCCTTTCTCTTCCTTGCTCTCTTTGGCTTCTTGGCCATGAGGTGAGCTGTTTCACTGTCACCTGCTCTTGCCATGATGTGCTGCTGTCTTGGGACAGGCCCAAAGCAATGAATAAGGCCAAGTGATCACAGAACTGTGAGCCAAAATAACTTTTCCCTTTATGAGCAGATTATCTCAGCAGGGTGTGGTGGTGCACACCTGTAATTTCAGCACTCTGGGAGGCTGAGCCAGGAAACTTGCATGTTTTGAATACAACCTGGCAATGTAGTAACTTAGTGAGACCATGCCTCAAAGTAAAATAAAAGAGGGTCAAGAATGCAGCTCAGTGCAGAGGCTCTGGGTTCAATTCCCAGTACTACAAAAAAATAAAAAAGACCAAAAAAGGGGCTGGAGGTTTAGCTCAGCGGCATAAGCGCCTGCCTTGCAAGCAGGCAGTCATGAGTTCGATCCCCAGTACTGATAAAAAGGAAAAAGACAACAAAAAAAAAAAGAGTGTAGACAAAATCCAAGCATAGTGACACACACCTGTAACCCCAGCACTTGGAAGGCTAAGGTAGGATGACTGCTGTGAGTTCATGGCCAGCCTGGGCTACACAATGAGTACAAGGCCAACCTGAACTACATAGCAACACCCTGTCACAAAAAAAAAAAAAAAAAACAAGGTCCTGGGTTTAATCCCAGCACAGGATGGGGTGTGGCAGGCAAAGAGTATCTCTGGATTTAGACAGTCAGGATACAAATCCCTGTCCATAGTCACTTGGGGTCCTGTGCATGTTATTCAGCCTTTCTGTGCCTCAATTTCCTTATCAGTCAAACAGGTGTTTCTCTGCTTTGAGGATTACCTGAATGCATGGATACAGAGGCCTAGAGCTAGAAACAGCTCCTTGAAGACAGTTGGGCACCTCTGTACCTCAAGAGCCCTAGGGTAGCTACAGCCTGCCCCTCCCAAGCCTCCTGCTCACCTGGGTCCGCAGGTGCTGCTGTTCCCGCTCCAGCTTCTCCTGGTGCAGTAACCGCACCTGCTCCTGCTGCTGCTGCAACTGCACCTGCTGGGCGATCACTTTGAGCTTTTCCGGGTACATGTGGGCCTCCAGGGACCGCACCTGCGGGTGGAGCAGCTCGGTGCTCAGGGGCAGGGCCAGAGCACACCTGCTCCTCCAGCCCTATAGCAGGCTACTCACCAAAACCTCCAACCTTAGGACAGAGCACAGTGTGCCCAAAACCTAAAACCCTAGCATGAATGATTCCATGGGGCAGAGACTAAATTCCTTACCAGATGCCCCTGGGTCTCCTTCCCACCTCTGGGTCTCTGTCTGTGCTCTCCCCTCTGACTGAAACAGCCTTCTCCCTTCTTTGCCTGGCTAAATGGTTTCCACATAGGAGCCATGAGAGACCAAGAGGTGTCAACTCAGACCCACAGCTGCATGGCCTTTAGCTCAGTTGCACTGAGTGTGTATGTGTATGTGTGTGTTGAGAATTGAACCCAAGGCCTTACATGCTAAGTATACACTCTGCCACTGGGCTGTATCTGAGGCCCTCAGCTGCATTTTTATACCTGAGAACCTTTGACTAATTCCTTCACCCCCATATACATGGTGTCCCCAGACAACTAGATCTCCACTCCTAGGCCTGGCACAGAGCAAGGGCTTCTGTAAATACATGCTACATGAAAATCACACAGGCAGAAAAAACAGAGACCACAGAAGCGACCTGCCTGTGGCACCCTACAGCCAGCCCACAGAGGGCACCGCACCTGCTCCTCCAGCATCATGCGCACAGAGCGCTCCTTGTCCAGCTGCTGTCGAAGCTCAATCATCTCCCGCCGCAGGTCCTCAGCCTTCTCATCCTCCCAGATATCAGGCGAGCCAATCCCTTCATCCTTGTCCTCTGCCCGCCGCCGCTTTGGAGAAGAGCCACTCAGTTCCTGGGGACCCCAAGAGATAGATGAGTATGTGAAGTGGACACCCCAATACCACGATTACTACCATGCAGGTCAAAAGAATTCCATCTCAGCTCTCCAAAGCTACCCAACAGAAGTAGACCTTGACTGGGGAGCTCATTCCACAGATCTAACAAAGTGGCTCAATGCCAGGAAGGGCAGTAGAAAGGACTGGCTTTCCAAGGCCTTTGATGAATGCAGAAACTGAGGCCCAACCAAGAAGGCAAGTGTGTAAAGTAGGCTGGTCAGTAATCAAGATGGGACTGGCAGTCCTATCTGTTTCCCAGGTCAGTGGTTGGGTCCAGGCATACCATGCTGGGGACAGAGAGTAAGGAGAAGGGCAGGGCACTGAGGCAGCACCTCTTAGGATACCTGGATAAAGCGCTTGAGCTGTGTGTTCTGCTGCAGGAGCCTGGTCTTCTCCTGCTCCAGGGAGAAAATGTACTCTGCTGTCTGCTGGAGAATGGCTGCCTGAAGGAAAGAGGGACCCGAGTCAGTCTGGTGGTATTTAAACAAGACTCTTCTTTCTCCTGCCACAGCCTGCCACCTCCTCCTGGAAGCTCCCACGCCCTACCCACCTTGCTGAGCTTCTCTCCATCTGTGTGGGGAATAAGGGTCTTGAGGGACTGGAAGCCTGCGTTGATGCTCTGCATACGCCTTCGCTCGTTGCTGTTGGCAATCTCCCGCCGAATCCGCCGCTCCTGGTCCCGCTGGGTCTCAGGGGTCAGTGGGATGTTGGCAAGGCTGCAAGGGCCGACAGAAACCTAAGACTAGATGCCCTCTGAGCCTTGCCCCAATATGCCCTTTTTTAAAATTTTTTTTTTTTTTTTTTGAGACAGGATCTCATTATTAGTCCAGCCTGGCCTCGAACCCACAGTAATCCTCCTGCCTCAGCCTTCCAAATGCTGGGGTTAAGGCCCATCTTCATAATTCACCTCCAGAGAACCCTAGGTGTAACCTGCCTCCCTCCCCTGCTGCAAAAGATGCCAAGTCAGCCTAAAGTCCGCACTTGGGGAGATCATCCCCAAAGCTGATGGAGGGGCACTCCCTGGAAAGCCCAGACAGACTGAACAAGCTGGATGCAGGCACAGGTAGGCTTCTTAGAATGACTTCCTCTCTTAAGGCAGGAATCTCCTCTAGAACAAGGTTCCCAGCCAGGTCTGGGTATCAAAAACACCCAAGGACTTGTATACGAGGTATACCCCAGGAGTCAGCCCTGTATCTGACTAAGAAAATCTGGGAAGGCTCAGCAGTCACATGGCTAAGCTTTGTATCTGGTGCAAGTGGTCCTTGAATGACAATCAGAGGTACCTGGTCTTGGGATACTTCAGAGTTCCTTGCTGACCTGGACCACCTGCAGAGTCTCAGGCTTTGCCACCCCAGAACTGAGAAGTCATCTTTCCTCTGTGCCCATCCCCACAGCCATGCCTGCAGCCACAGCCACAGCTCCTATCAGGCCCCCTGGGCTAAGATTTCACAGAAGACAAGAAAGATACCACTCACTCCACAGACAGGAAAGTAAGTCAACAACCCCTGAGGACAGTCCCCCTCCAAACCCAGCCACTTTAAGAGGCAAACCAGCTCTATGCCAGGAAAGAAGGCCTCTGGCATGCTGTGGGCAATGGGATTGCATATTTCGGGTGCAGCAGCAGTGGGGTGAGAGATGAAGCAGCCAGGGAAGGGGATGTGGCTGTGGGCCAAGATGCAAGACAACAGCACAGCCCGCAGGCCCAATGCCACTGCTCCCGAGGGGTGGGCCTGTGTGTGGCCTAGAGGAGCCATGCTCCCTTTCTCAGCCCTCCCCTGCAACTCCCCCCCACTCCCGCCCCTGGCCTGATGGTTTCCAGATGCTGAGCTCCCAGCAGAGCCGCCAGCCCCACCCAAAGCCACAGCCCTAGCCTCTTCCTGAGGGGCCCTCCCTGGGTGACCTGTTCCAGGCCTGAGCCAAGACCGCTTAGGTCCTGGGTCTGGGGAAATTGAAAAAGGCCTCTAAGCACTCTTGTCCCATTGATGGGGATCCAGGATCAAGGACATACCAGGTCCGATTCCTTTACTGTGACTTGGCCCTGTCCCTGTCCTCAGGGAAAAGAGCCGCATGCACAATAGCCCAGGAGGGGAACACATCTGCAACAGTGGGAAACAACCTGGCCTGACCTGTGCCACCTATCCATCCTACCTCAGCTCCCTGTTGGCCCTGAATCATACATCCTTACTCCTTCTTAGGCCTCAGCTTTCTCTTTCAACAGAGAGGGTGGCCAACTGGGATTGAGCGCTCCATCACCCTCCTGGAGGATTGCAGGCAAATCAATGCAGCCCCGTGCTATCCCCTCAGCACCCCTCCCACATACTCCTCACTCCACCTTATCAAGCCAAAGGCCCTTCTTCCATGAGGGTCCAAAGACTCAAGGCCCCAACCAACTCAGAGCCTCCCTGACCTCTCCAGCAGAGTGCAAGACCCTCACAGAGCTGGGAATGTCAGTGCTGGGAAGGAGGCCCAGGTCCCCCCTCACATACTTCACAGATGAGGTGGTGTTTTGCTTAGGGCTCAGAGTAGGGATAGAATGGTTTTAAATTCAGATAGCTGGATGTCCAACTTCCCCACTTCAGGCCGGTATCTCTCCTCTCCCAGTTTCTCTGTCTCCACAGTGGGCATAAGTGTCAAAAAGAGGAAAGGGCCAACTTAAACAGAGGCTGCCACTGACCACCCTCTGGGCCTGACCCTGTCCAGACCACACCTCCTCAGAGAGATCAGCTGGCCAAGGGGAACAGGGACTGTTCTGCAGTGGTGGTCTAGCAAACAGTGACCTTTGAAGACAAAAAGAGATGGGTGGCCAGGCACAGTCCTGTGCTAGGATTATAGGTGGAATCCCAGCACAAGGAGGATCCCTATGAGTTTGTGAGCTCAGGACCAGCCTGAACTACATAGTGAGTTCAAGGTCAGGCTGAACCATATAGCGAGACCCTCTCTCAAAAAAAAAAAAAAAAAAAAAAAAAAAAAAAAAAAAAGAAAGAAAGAAAGAGAGAGAGAGAGAGAGAGAGAGAGAGGCAGGAGAGGTACCACAGGAAGCCATCTGGTAACTACAATCTGTCTGGGAACAACTCCTACCCTCATGTCTTCTGGTGATGCCAAAAGGGCTGAGCTGACCCCAGGGCTGGGGCTCAAAAGGAGCCTTGAATCCACTCTTGGACCACCCCAAGGACACAGCCAATCCAGAAAGCCTAGCAATAAAGGAATAAGTTTGATGGTTTTTTTTTTTTAAAGTCTTGAAGACAAGTGTGATGATATAGCACTCTGGCCAAGACAGGAGGATCATAGGTTTGAGGCCAGTCTGGCAACCTACAGAGCCCCATTTCAAAATAAAAAATAAAAAGAGCTGCAGAAGTAACTTATGGCAGAGCTTGCCTAGCATGAGCAAGGCCTTAGGTTCAAGCCCTATTAGCGCGCACACACACACACACACACACACACCCCTTGAATTCTTTATATGATGCACTGAAGACTTCCTATGTTAGTTTTTTCATTGAATCTTATCAAAATCTTCCTATGAGTAAAGTGGCCTAATGGTTCCCATGTAAAGAGGACACAAAGGCTCAGAAAGGGACCAGCTATATATAGCAAGCAATAAAGCTAGGACCCAGAGCAGGTGTCAGGTGACAGGTAATGGGCTCTATATGGTCCCACAGATTGGCAGGTGAAGAATAAGGCCAGGCAAAGTATCATTGATAGTTGCCTGCTAACACTGTGTTAACTCTTACTAGCTGCAGACTTCTTGTATCCCCCTCCCCAATTTTTTTTTTTTTTTTTTTTTTTTTGGTCTTTCTCGTTTTTATCAGTACCAGGGATCGAACTCTGCCTGCCTGCCTGCAAGGCAGGCACTTATGCCACTGAGCTAAATCCCCAGCCCCACCCCCTCCCCAATTCTTACAAAAGCCAAGTGGAATGGCTGCAACGATGTGCCCTGTGACATGCCCCCCATCAGGCAGCCAGACCAGGACCTGCCAGCTCCCACAGACAACCCACTGGCTGATGGTGCCCTCTATTGACAGCTTGTATACAGGAGGGGGCTGCTCAACAGAGGGGGTGTGGCTGCAAGAACAGTACTCCTAAACTGATCCCCTCCAAAACATAGTGAGAGAGAAGGGCCACAAGTGATGTGACTTACCCAAGCTCACACCTGTTGGCCTTCTAAAGCAAGGTACAGCTGGATGCACCCTCCTGCAGCTCCAAGCCCAAGTCCCCTCAATTAATCAGCCCTGGAAAGCTGACCCTCAGCCACTCCCTTTTCCCCAGGTTGCCCACTAACTGAGAAGCCCAAAGAACACAACAGGGCTGCAGGCTCAAAATCTCCATCCCCAAAGTTCCTAGAACAGGTCCAGGCAGGGTGAGGAGCCAATGTCAGCTTCTTACTATCTCAGAGCCAACAGCCTGGCTCCTCCAGATGTTTCATCCTGCCACTTCTCCAAACCTATCAGCCTACCCTCCTCCTTCCAGAACCAGCTGCTGATTAACCTAGTGTTTAACCTAGACTTAACTGACAAGAGTCTCACCCCAAAGCTACAGCTCCTCATAGAGTTGAATTTGTTATCAAGAGTCATTATAATTCGAATCTAAACAGACCTAGAAGAAAGCACTAACAGTTTTGGGGGTTTTTTTTACAGACTACATGCTAACCAGGGATTCCAATTGGTGGAGTCTGAGCCAAACAAAAATGATGACTGGTAGAATGCCGGCCACTGCTAACCAATCCCAGGTTCCTATTCATGAAGAGTAAGAGTTAACAGGCATTTCCAGGTGACCCTGTAGTGGATACAAAGGGTTTTTCTGCAAAGACCTGAAAGTTCCTTATAGTTCTTTCTGGGTTTTACAGAAGTAAACTGTAACTCTATGGTAAAAATCACACTCCCTCCTCCTTGGTAACTTCAGACTTTCCCAAGTAAGCAGTAGCTCTGATTTCTACACACACACACACACATACACACACACCCATCACCACCACTACCTTCTAACAGACAGAGGCTGACCAGGCGCCTCTAGGCCTTAGGGATAAGAACCCTGGGCAAAAACAGGAACAAGGTCTGGGCACTAACCAAGAAGAGAGCTCTTTAACTAGTACACACCCAAATCTAGGAAGAATGCCAGCACCCCAGCCAGACCCTCAAGGACGGGGACATGCTCTTCACATCCAGATCCCAAATGGGTACCTCCCTGCCAAGGGCCAAGTGCTGCCCATCCTCCTCCACCTGCCTGCCTAGCTCCAGCCTCCAACTGGCCGTTGAGAATTCTGACAGCACAATCCCTGAACCCACCCACTCAAGTCACTGAACATCACACAGTCAACGTGGAGAAAATCCACCTGGGATTTCTCCAATACCTGAAAAGGAAGGGAGATGACCTTCCTACTTGGAGTGTCAAGGCTCTCACTGCTCCCCACGGTCTTCTATACGTCCCTCTCCAACCTCCTATGGCCAGTCACCACCCTCCCATTGGTTCCAGAATACACCATGCCACGTTACTCCTATCAGAGATAGCACCGAGAGTTGGTGAGCTTTTGAGGCCAGGGATCATCAGGTCTTGTTACCTGCTGAATCCCCAGTCCCGTCATCAAGCTGGTGCTTCATACATAGAATCAGGGGCCAAACAAACACAGCAAACCCCCTATCATTCCTCCTTTTCAGAATTCTGATAGTCTCTCCATGATGAATGTAATTAGTATGTACTGCAAATGTGTGCTAATAAAAATAAAAAAGTTGAGAGAGGGTCTAGTCAAGTTGCATAGTCTAGCCTTGAACTTGTGATCCTCCTGCTTCAGCCTCCCATGTAGTTGGGGTTACAGCTGTGTGCAACTGCATCCAGCTCTCCTAAGGGAACTTTTTTTAGAGTTTACAGGGATAGAGATGACTATGTTCCTGCTTTTCCTAGTCTGAAAGTTAAAGTAATGGCTTCCTGGTACTTCCCATATCAATCTCCACAAATGTTATATATTACCAAAACAAAGAACCTTTAGGCAGTAAGTATAGGGTACTACCCTCCAGCCCCCTCTACTTGGGTGGGCAGACAGTTGAGAAGGGCTGGCAGAGCCCAACTAGTCAAAAAAGGATGGAGGAAAAGTGCATAGACTGAGACAATCTAGAGAAGCCAAGTCCTAACCATCAAAAAGTCCTGCTCAGCACACACTCTATTCTGAACAGGCATCCTACCTCACCCTGCAGCCCCAGCTGAAAACAAAAAGGGTAAGAAGTCCTGTCTGGAAGTGAGGCAGGCTGAGGACTTGCACACCCTGGGGCAGGTTCTGCCACCTCAAGCACTTGGACTGCCAAAGCCCAATGTCTGTGAGTAGTTGCTAGCTTCCTCCAAAGAGAGGATTAGTGTCTTGGGTTTGTTTGGTTTTTGTTTTTTTGAGACAAGGTCTCACTATGCAGCCCAGCCTGGCCTCAAATTCCCAGTCTTCTTGCCTCAACCTGAGTGCTGGGATTACAGGTATATGCCACCACACCCGACTCTAAGAGGGGACTGGTACAGGGACAAAGTAAGGCCAGAATCCCAGGATGCCCTGACAGGTCTCAACTAAGGTCCAGCCACAGGAGCCAGAGGGACCACTGCCCCAAGCCTCTGCATGGTCAGAGCCAAGAATGTCCTCTCCACTGTGGAGCTCAGCTGCTCCTGCCCACAGCCCAGCCTAGCTTAGAGCAGCCAGCACCCTGCAGAAGAGCAAGGCTCTGGAATCAGGTTTCCAGTCCCAGCTCTACCCTCTTGCTCTAGCTGGTCACTTCCTCAGTCTCTGTCTTCCTTCGTCTTTTTTTTTTTTTTTTTTTTTTTTTGTCTTTTTCCTTTTTATCGGTACCGGGGATTGAACTCACGACTGCCTGCTTGCAAGGCAGGCACTTATGCCGCTGAGCTAAATCCCCTGCCCCTTCCTTCATCTTTATAAGGGAATCAGAAAACAACTTGACTCACGGAAAGTGTATAATGATTCAGTGAGAAAACACTAGCAAAGCGAATGCCCAGAACATATAAAGACCTCAAAAACAATTTTTTAAATTAACCACCAGGCCAGGTGTGGTGGCACATGTCTGTAATCCCAACACTCAGGAGGCTGAGCTAGGATCTCTTGGAGTTCAAGGCCAACCTGAATTACATTGCAGACCCTATCTCAAAAAAACAAAACAAACAAAGTTATTACTGCTGGGCCCTCCAGTTCAGCCTTGTCTAAATGCCAATCCTCAGGGTGGCCCTGCTGCCTGCCAAATCCATCAGCTGATGCATCTATATCCCTAGGTATTGACTGTGAACGTGGCAATAAAGGTGAGAGCCCCTGGAGCCAGGTGCATACCAGGTGTATACCTATTCCCCAGCATTTGGTGTCCATCAGCTTGGGCCACACCGTGTTGGGGCTCCTCCTCCCTCAATCCCCGCCCTACCAGCCCAGGACTGCTGAGCACGTGGCCCAGCCCTGGGGAGCCATTTCGCTCCTGGAGCAGCAATGCAAGGGAAGGGGCCACAGGTCCTAAACTTGTGCACACCGGTGAAACCTCCACTGCCTCGGGCCCACCTCAGCCAGTCCAGTCGGGTCAATAAGGAGATGCCTGTGCCGAGCCTTAGCAAACGGAGTTTCAGTCATGTTCATTTTAACATATCCTGAGTGATTTGGCTGCTTGTGGCCGCGAATCCCACACCCTTGATAGGGTGACTTTTGGGCGACCTCAACCAAGCTTACACAAAGCGGGTCCTGGGGAAGGAATGCAGACCTCGGGGACCCACCTGGATGGGAGACCCGACGCTTTCAGCTTACGGCTAAGAGGAGGGGCGTGGAATGGGAAAGTTTGCAGAGGACACCCAAATGCAGCAGGAGGCGGCCAGGCTAGGTTAGAGGCGACCTCAGGAGCCCACTCCTCAAAACGCCTTCCACCTGGCCAGCCTAGCCCACTTAGCCTGCGGAGGCCGAGCTTTGTCAGGAAAAGCGTGGTTTCCCAGTGCCTACAAATCCCACAATGCTGTACACGCCAGGCGCCCAGAACTACAGCTCCCGCGAGGCAGCGCGCGCGGAGGTCCGCCTACTCCAAAAGGGCTGCAGAGTCACGTCCAGGCCTCGCTAGTAAACAGCGCCCGGGCGCGGGCGGGCAAACCAGCGAGCCAGCCAGCGGCGGCCAGCGTGCCCAGAGCCATTGCATCCCTGTCTGCCGTGCTGTCCCTTAGGGTCCGCCCACCCACCCAGCCCAGCGCGAGCAAACCTTCGGACCCCACCGCAGCCGCGCTCTCTACAAACACGCACACCATCCGGCTCCCCGCCCCCACACACACACACCCGGAGCCGCGGCAGAGCTGTATTGTAGCCGCCGTTGCCACGGCCCCCATGCACGCCCTGGACTCCCCCAGACCCATTTGAAGGGGGGCATCCGGAGAGCGTGAGGAAGCAGGGAGAGGAAGGAAGCAGCCGCGGGAGGGGGGAGGAGGAAGCGCGGGGAGGAAAGCCACCAGCATCAAGCATGGCCGGGACTGCTGCAGAACCACGTGGGTCTGTTTGCAATTTACAAACGTCGCGACTCGCCAGCCTGCAGCGGACAAAAGTAGTCAGGGCCGCTCGGGGTCCCTGCGTTCCAAGGGAAGAGGGTGCCCAAGAGGCGCGAACCGGGCAGACTGGCTGCAGCCACCCCAGCGGCTAAGAAAGGCGAGCGGGGTCGGCAGCGCGGGCCATGCGTGCGCACACGCGCGCCAGCCCCGGGCGGGCTGGCCGGAGGCTGCAATGGTAGGAAGGGTTAAGGAGAAGAGAAGTACACACCTACAGAGCCCTCCTATCACTTCTTTCTCTGTTTTCCTGAAATGCTGCAAAGAGGGCACCTTCTGAGTGGGCACCATGAAATACTCCATAGCGATCGGCCCCCCTCCTCTGCACGAGCCAGGTCCCGCGGTCCGCCGGAGAATGCAAGATGGAAATCCGAATCAAAGGGCAGAGCCGGACGGAGGTGCAGAATCGGCCGGTCCCAGATGCTGGCGGCGGCGGCGGCGGCGGCAGCGAGGGGAGGGAGGCGGGCGGGAGGGGCAGGAGGGAGGTCTCTCCGGCCTGCCTCCCCGGGCGTGTGTATGTGTGTGTGTGTTTGCAGCTGATCAGATGTCTGTTTCAAGGCGGGAAACAGCTGGTGAAAACTCAGCACTCCCCCGGCCTCCTTCCGCGGAGTAAGGAATTGCATGTAAACAAAGGACTATTTGCTGCGTCCTCCAAGCGGCACGAGGCCAGGGCGAGAGGGGCGCAGGCCTCCGGGGACCGGCTGCAACTGGGATCTGCGGGCCTCTCTTGGCGTACGGAGGGACCCCAGCGGCAGCCCAGCCGCGGGGGCGCCGCGTGAATGGAGAGATCTGCGGCCCAGCTACATGCGCCACTATGGGTGATGAGGTCCATCAGCTGACAGGTTGGCAAGCATTGCAGAAAAAAAAAAAAAAAAAAAAGCAGCCACCACGAGGGAGCTCAGCCTGTGCGGCCCAGGGTCTGGCAGGCACTGTCCGTGTAGGGTCAGCCCACAACGTGACCCTCAGGGCGTAAGGCTGGGTCCGGCTTTCTGCAGCAGCAGGAAGGCGGCCCACCGTGCGTGCTTGTATTTTTGCTTTTTCACGATGCAACTGCACGAAGTGCAGTCTCCCTCGGAGCAGACCAAGGGCCCCCTGGAAACTTGCATCACGGCCACCGCTTCCCACATTTAACTTGGTGCAGACTCCGGGGGCCTGCCTACCTCCTTCCGACCCTGCCCAGCTAGCCGCTTGTCCTAAGCTCTGGAGCATGGGAATCCCGGACCCGGTGAGATGACTGCAAAGGAGCCCCCCCCCCCCCGCCCCGCCGGATACCTCTGACGCTGGCCAAGGCTGGAGGGCCGGTTACAAAGGAGGGGTGGAGCAGAGAGGAAAGAGTGGAGGTGGGCCAGAAAGGCAGCAGCCCCCAGGGACAAGTTTGCCAGTTTGGGGGGAGGCCTGGGGATTGCTACTGAATCTAATCAGCTCCCTTCCCCAACTTTCCCCCTCTGCAGGCTGAAGGCTGCATCTTCTCATTCAAGGCAAAGACAGAACTTGCTCTTCCACCAGGGTGCGCGCTCTGCAAAGGGGTGATGGATTATTAGGGAACATCGTTATTAGTTATTACCGGCACTATAATAACTTTTTTTGCATTCATATTCCCTACTCCTCAATGCAGCTTATTAGGCAGTTATTGTAATTACAGGTCCCCAAAATACATTTTCTCCAAAATACATAATGTCTAAGTCCCTGGGAGGCTTGATTTGAAATGCATCCTTGACCCCCACCTCAGGGCCACCAAATCCAGAGTGCTGCTTAGGGGGTGCTGCCCATCTTTTGGGAGATTTATCTTCAACTGTGATTAATGATCAGGACATCCTGATAAATCTCTATTATCCTGGACCTCACATTCTAGGTACTGGAGATTGAACTCAGGGTCTCCACACTGAGCTACATCCTCAGCCCCATCTGTGTGTGCATGGATATGTGTATGTGTGGTTTGAGACAGGATCTCCCTAATTATTATTATTTTTTAATGACAAGGTCTCACTGCTTAGTGCAGGCTGGCCTTGAACTCACTATGTAACCCAGGCTGGCCTTAAACTTGTGGAGATCCTCCTGCCTCATCCTCCTCAGTGCTGGCATTGCAAGTGTGTGCTACCACACCCCCAGGTCTCTAATTTTTTAAATTGTCCACTCTGGATTCAATTTTTGATCCTTGTGCCTCAGTCTCTTCAAGGGCTGGGGTCACAGTAGTGGGCCACCACACTCAGCATGGAGTATTTTGAGATAGAAAATTTTAAGGGGTAGCCAAAAAAATCCAGCACTCATGAAAAATCATGTCTTGATTAATACTTTTAAAAATCAAATTCAATGGGCTGGGGATTAGCCCAGTGGTATAGGTATCTGCCCAGCAAACTCAAGGTTGTGAGTTCAATCCCTTATACCAAAATAAAATCAAATTCAAGACTGAATGTGTGGCTCAGGAGCCAGGGGTAAAATGCCTGCCTAGCATATACAAAGCCCTGGATATATGATCACCAGTACCAGAAAAAAAAAAAAAAATCTGTGATGGGCAGGCCATGGTGGCACACACCTGTAATACCAGCATTCGTGAGACTGGGGTAGGAAGATTGCTACAAGTTTGAGGTCAGCCTGCCCTACACAGATCCTGTCTCAAAAAAAAAAAAATCTATGTGGACAAAATACCCCCATTTTGGGGTATTTGGTGGGAATCTTTCCTTTATTGAGACAGACTCGCACTATGCACTTCAAGCTGGCCTTGAACTCACTATGTAACCCAGACTGACCTCAAACTTAGGGTAATCTTCCTGCCTCAGTCTCCCAGAGTGCTAATTAGATTTTTTTTTCTGAATTCTAAGTATTACATTAACAGTTCTCCACCATCACCCCAGCCACCTCCCCACCTTTCATCTCGACAGAGAGTCTTAAGGTTTTTGTTTGGGTTTGGGTTTGGTCTTTTTTGCAGTACTGAGGATTGAACTGGACTTTATGCATGTTAGACAAGCACAACTACTGAGTCACAACCCCAGCCCTTCCTTCTTGCTATGTAGTCCAAGCTAGCCTTGAACCCTCCAGTCCTTCTGCACATAGCAGGCTTCTGTTTCTCTAGATTACTGAATTTTTTAAGTACCCCTTTCTGTGTCTGTCCCAAATGAATGCCTCACTAATGCCTCTTATGGCCCCACCTTACAGCAGTTTCCCCTCTGCAGAGTGTAGTGGTTCTCTTGGACCCAGGGCAAGAGATAGCAGGACCAGGGCCACTCATCAGCCCTGGCCTCCCCTCTGGATCTGAACAGGGCTCATTTGCACAGCACTAGAGAAAACACAGAAAAACTTTAACCAGCTCCCAGATTTCCAGCTCCCAGATTTCCACCTTCACTGCTTCTCCCTGTCTTCATAGAGGACATATTCTGAGTTGGCAACAAAGAGGCTGGCTCACTCATGGCCTGTGGTGGTCCCAGAGATATGGTTAGGGAAGGATAGCATTTGGGGGACCATATAACTGTGTAACCTGAGCAACTACTCTGGTGCCTGAGTGAGTGAATGAATGGAGAACAGCTGGGAAAAGCACGTCTGCCCCTTGCTCTTCTACAGAACTGCCATGACGCCTGTATTTCCGATCCCTGGTGTGCACCTCTCCGTGTTTGAAGCTGAGGTGCCAGTCAAGGTGCCTGTGTACATACATGTGAGAGCAGGTGGGAGCCATGGCAGACCCCTGCTCATCTGTGGGCCTCACCTCAAGGAAATAAACTGCATTTACCTGAGTGTGCAAGATTAGAAGTTGGGAATGACTAGAAATCGATTCGTTTGTAAAGGTTTATCATAAGTAAAAAAACCTCCCCCTAGTCCATGGTGATTCGATGATAGAGATGCAAAGAGATGAAATGACAAAAATCATTTGGAAGTTGACTAAAGAAAAGCTAATTTTTCCCCATGTGGAACTGAATCTTCATAGCTCTGCGTATAGAGAATTGGGATGCTGCCAATGACCACGTCACTAAGGGTGTTGCAGAAGCTATAAAGAATTATGGTGGTGTGCTACCATCATCCCCAGTGAGAAGAGGGTTGAGGAGTTCAAGTTGAAACAAACATGGGAAACATCAAATGGCACCATCCAAAATATTCTGGATGGTTCTGGCTTCAGGGAGCTAATATCTATAAAAAATATTCCCTCAGCTTGTGATCATAGGTCATCATGCTTATGGGGATCAACACAGAGTGACTGATTTTGTTATTCCTGGGCCTGGGAATGTAGAGACAACCTATAGGTGACAGAACTTGGTCATAGTGGTGTCATTGTGGGGATGTACAATCAAGATAAGTCAGTTGAAGACTGCACATAGTTGCTTCCAAATGGCTCTAAGAGTTAGCTTTTGTATCTGAGCACCAAAAACAGTATTCTGAAGAAATATGGATGTTTTTAAGGACATCTTTCAGGAGATACATGACAAGCAGTGCAAATCCCAGTTTGAATCCCAGAAGACCCAGTATAAGCACACGCTCATCCATGATGGGTGGTCCAAGGTATGAAGTCAGAAAGAGACTTCTGACTCCGTAAAAAAACTACAGTGATGACATACAATCAGATTCTGTTGCTCAAGGCTATGGCTGCCTTGGCATGATAACCAGGTGTGCCGGTTTGTCCAGATGTCAAGATCATAGAAGCAGAGGCTGCCCATGGGACTGTAGCGTGCCACTACTTTATGTACCAGAGGATCAGGAGACCCCCTGCATTGCTTCCATTTTTGCCTGGACCAGAGGGTCAGCCCACAGAACAAAGCTTGATAATGATACCAAACTCAGCTACTTTGCAAAATCTTTGGAAGAAGTCTGCATTGAGACCATTTGCGGGTGGCTTCATGACCAGGGACTCGGCTGCTTGCATTAAAGGTTTACCCAGTGTACCACATTCTCACTACTTGAATACATTTGAGTTCATGGACAAACTTGGAGAAAACCTGAAGATAAAACTAGCTCAAATACCTGGGCTTAGGAAGATACGTGTTTTTGGTGATTAGGTCCACAGGTTTATTTTTTTTTTTTTTGTATAACACTCAAGGGTATTAAAAACAAAATCAATTTTATAATTTGTTTAGAAGCCAGAGTTGATCTTCCTATGAGAAAGCCCAAAGCCTTTTTTTTTTTTTTTTTTTTTTTTTTGTCTTTTTCGTTTTTATCGGTACCAGGGATCGAACTCATGACTGCCTACTTCCAAGGCAGGCACATATGCCGCTGAGCTAAATCCCCAGCCCCTGCCTTTTTCTTATACATAGTTATCGTCACCTTTGTGAACATGGCAGGGAACTTTTGTTTTTCTAGTAGCAGTCTAGGAATTCCTTTAGTATTCCTTCCTGTTCATTGTCACTTTCTTCATGTTCTTTTTTTTTTTTTTTTTTTTTTTTTGTCTTTTTCCTTTTTATCGGTACCGGGGATCAAAATCACGACTGCCTGCTTTCACGGCAGGTACCTATGCAGCTGAGCTAAACCCCCAGCCCCTCACTTTCTTCATGTTCTGA